GGCTTGGTCAGTAGAACACACAACTCTTGATTTAAGGGTTGTGAGCTCAAGCCCCATGCTGGGTGTGGAGTCCGCTTAAAAGCAAAGCAAAACGAAACAAAAATTAAGTCAAAGATTGTAGTAAACAGTGGGCAGACTACAGGGTTAACTGTCATAAAAAATTAAGATTAGTTAAGCTCCGTATAAATCCAACATGAAACCAGAGCAACCTAACATAGGACATGATAGGAATTATAGAGCAGATTAAGAGAAAACCCTTACTTGAAAGAAAGTACTAGATATGGTGACATTTTAAGTTTGTATCCCACCTTGTTCCAAATGGTATTCAAGATGACTAGATTGGCAATTAATTCCAGTTTTGTAGTGGCCTAAGTTATGGAGAATTCAAATCGTTTAGAAGCAACTTTTTAATAGGGAAAAAATCTTGATTCTGGAACCAGAAAGGCATAGGGAAATAAGAGAAGATAGGATGCTGAAATCGAAATCCTATGGAGAGAGGTGGATTTAGCCTGAATTCCCTTATCTTTGATCAGAACATAGGATGAGGCAATTTTCTACAAAAATCAACTTATTTAAAACTTCTTAAGAAACTTCAGATGTTTTAATTTGTATAATCTCAAATGTTATTTAGCAGAAGCTTAGTAATCAGAGCCATTAGTCAAAGCGTGGCATTATAAATTAAGATCGTTTTGTCAAGTCCATCTTTTGGCATACAGTGCCCAGAACAAACTCACTTTACATTACACATCACAGCACAGTTTTAAAGACAGTCTCCACCATTCACAAAATCCATGCACATGCACAGAAAAGCCATTTGAAGCATCACCTTTAGATAGCAGGTAAACAGCCCAAACTGCGCCACAAGGCTGCATCTTAAAGTTCTCTTTGATCAGTTACTGAGCTCGGTTCCTGATGTTAAATCTTCATTTTTAGTAAGCAGATTAGAAAGGAAGAGATTAATTAAGTGAGAGAATGAAATGCAGAAAATAGTGAATGCCAGTCAAAAAGAACAGAAGCAGGTTTAGAGTTCTATAAAAATAATGCATTTAAATTCCTGCCTGGTTTCATAGAAACAATGAACATCTGAGAATCTAGATAAAAAGAAAAACAGAAAAATGATTTAAACCAGAACACATTTCATTTTTCTTAAGAATGTCTGGGTGATTATATTCTTACCTAAAATTATGAAAATCAGTATGAAGAGAAGGCAAAAACTAATGGGAGAGGTTCTAAAATTTCTTTTTCTTGTTGTTAACAGATTTCTCCTAATTATTTCTATTATGTATTTTATTTGCATTTTAATTTTTAAAAATAGTTTTGTATGTCTAACTCTTCCATCAGCCAACAAGTTTCTTAAAGACATTGAATCAGCAAGTATTTATTGAACACCTACCAAGTGTTCAATAATACACAAAAAGTAAGAGTAATGACAAAAAAATATATAATGCCAGAGCTATGCCTTACTCATCTTTTTATCTTCAGTGAGTAGGATGGAAGGGGCACTTAAATGTTGACTAAAATGTAAATCGGCATTTACTTTAACAATCAGAGTTGAATTTTTACACCTCAATATGACATAAGACTCAAACAGTAGAAAATCTATAGAACCAATTTTGAACCTCTCTAATAAGTGGTCCAGAATTACCAATTTATTTTCAAACTATGTGTTTGACATAGTGTTTGATATATTATAAGCATAGACTGAAGAGAGGCAAGTTCAGAAAGAAGAGTACCTTATCTGAGAATAAACTGAGACACCAGAGAGTTTACTATTATGAGACTTCCTATTTTGAGTCTGCTTCCTTCTGAACTCTTATTAAATAGAATGACAGCTTATCAAAGTTACTGTCAAAGATAACAGAATTTTTAAAAAGGATCTGTGCTATCTGTGCTACAGTTCAAACAGTAGCAAGCTAAGAGAATGACAATCACAATTTTGAAGTTTAATCCTGGTAGTCTATTTAAATTCTGGTAGTCCTTTTATTTTTTTATTTATTTTTTTTTTTCTGGTAGTCCTTTTAGAAAAAATTAGCTAACGTTAAAATTCCCTTCTAATACAGGATTCTGTTAAGTAAAGCTATTTCCATGTCTGTTTTATTTGCTGACTTGGCTTCAATGAATACTAATGACCAAAAGAAATCTCAAAGAACAAACCTACTCAAGACATTTTCTATACATAAATACATCTAACAATGATTAACAACTAACTAGTTCATTATTTTTTTTGCAAAGTCAAGCACTGTAGCATATAGTCAACAACTGAAGCTCTGCCTGGTTTTCATTCTCAGCTCTTCCATTTCTAATGTAACCTTTTTGTGCCTCTGTTTCCCCACACGTAAAATAGTGCTAAAATGAGAAGGTATCTTATATTAAGGTTACTCTTAGGATTAAATTTAAAGTGTTCAGAATAATAAGAGCCTAAATTAATACATAGGCCCACAAATCTCATCCAAACCCTTGGATGTGAGACATTTTAAGCAATACCACATAATCAATAAAAACATGAATATTTCTGTAGTGAAACAAATTAACATTTACACTAAATGTGATAAAGATTATTAACAGCTTCAGTTTATGTCACATTTTATAGCCTAATTAATGGGGTGTGGCACCACATTATGGGGGTAAAAAAACCTAAAACTTGGTTTTTGGAGTTTTTCAGATTTCTGGATGGCAGATTAAGAGATTGTAGATCTGGGTTTTTATTACTACCAGAATTAACACCAGCCTTATATGATCTTCTGTCTGTCTTTGAGAAGCTCATGTTATGGCTATTTATATGATAAGCCTAACTAAAACCCAGATTAGCAGATAAAATTAGAAAGATCAAGGCAGTGGCAGGAATAATAAAGCTGAGGACAAGAGAGACCATAGAGGCCACAGATTCAATGTTATAAAGAAGAGACAGGTGCAAGGAGGCAGTTAAAATCAGACATCTTTAAACTAAAATATTGCTCTCTTCTCTTCAGGGAAAAACTGTTCTGTTAATAGGAGTGCCTTAATTCTTGTCTGTCAGGAAGTGCCTTCCTCTCTGGACCTACTGAGAAAAGGTTCTCAGAGGCAAGAGGCTGCAGACTGCCTCAGGACCATACTCTACCTTCTCTCTCACCAATGTCCCAACTCGGATATACAAAGTGAAATAATAATACTTATTAATAATGAATACTTCCGTAGATCCATTTCCCCTTTTTTATTGTATCAAATCATCTTAGGATTCACTGCTCTTCCTGTTTATCAACCCTGGACTCAGAGCTGATTGACCTTTACATTCTAGGGAGGTCTTCTTTCCTTGCTCTTCTCCTAACAGGTAATCTCAAGGAAATTCATTTTATTTTTCTCCTCTGCACTTTCAAGACGATACATAGAACACAGGAGAAAAGCACAAGTTTGCAAACCACAGATAAGACTTTAGATTAAAATATCTGTGCATATCTAACTTGTTTGCTTAAACCATCTGCTAAATCCTGACTGACAAGTCGTAGTTATTTAAATATGCACTTTCAGAGAGTCAACCAAGGTCCAAAGAAGTCAACAGATTTGTCTTAAAATAGAGAGCCAATGGACAAGACTAGGATGAATACTGTCAAATCTTAATTTCTTATGATCGAAACACTAAAGCTGACCAATAAACAATTTTATATTCTTTAGTAGACATGGCTGAGAATGCTGTCACATGAAAAATTATCTAAAAGTATGACAATATAACAAAAGTTTCTCCATTCCTAACTCCTTTGAGAAGTAAAAATGCTCAGACAACTAGATGAATACTAATGTCTATAAAGCTCTTTGCAAATGAATTCACTCAGCAGTAAGAGTGGTCATTCACTCTCCAGATGCTGTCACTTCAACTAAGAGTAAAGTTCAGGTTGTTGTTTTGTTAAACAAGAAGGGAAGATAATAGTTACCTGCCTTAGCTAAAACCTCATCTTCGCTGAAATACATAGAATATTTGTCAACACCATGGAGTTTGGTTTACCAAAGAGGAAGTAGATAATTTAAATATTCATAATAGAGTGACCAAAGAGAATGAATCTCTTTCAAGCATAATCTTATATACCATACAAAAAAATTTGAAGACTTTTCAACTCATAGTTTATTAGAAACTTCAAATCTTCAGAGACTTCTTTGATTTTCCCTTGTGTTTAATATATTATCACTTGCTTTAAAATAAATTCCCTTTGACTTATACTTTTTCTCTAATCTCACTAATAAGGCCTCACCTAACAGGCCTAGAATACAAAACGTTCCTAACTAGTCTCCTAGTGTGCAGTTATACCTGCCATTCCAATCCATCAACTCCTTAGTCTGCCTACTTATGCCTTATTTTTCACTTCTCCTCTATATGAATCATGTACCTCAGTTAAGTCAAGCTTCTCTATAACTTCTGTTTACGTTAGGAAATGCCTCCATGTCCATCCAAGTTCCATGTCCATCCAAGTCCTTCTAACAGACTCCAACTCAAGTCCTATCTCTCTTGCAAGATTTCTCCAAACCAAATTTTATCAGTTCTGTACCCTTAGCTTTAGTTGATATGTGATTTAGCACTATTATTTATTTTTTACTTCTCTGCTATTCTTCTTCATATGTCCAATCACAAGGTAGGTCTTTTGAAGACAGGATCCAAATCCTTTACTCCCTTGGCAATCCCTCATATGCCTACCATAAGATATATATTTTGCTAATACTCCTTATTTGAGAGGAAAAGACACTAATTACATCCTGCTCTATATTAACCAGATGAATATTTCCTGCATTATATTTCATATCTTATTTAAAAATGAAATTGGGACTTGATCCCAGAAATGACCCAATTTAGGCCATGGTTTTTAGTGAACATGCCCATTTATATGAAAAGTTTGATCTGCCTGAAGGAAAAATAGCTTAAATTTATCTCACAAAGTTCCTTATGTAGGCCCAGTCATGCCTCTGACCTTATTGGGGCGGGGGGGGGGGGGATGCTCTCACTTTAATTTTAAAAAAGTCTTGACTTCTCAACTCACCTATTACATGGACAGACACAAAGGCCACAGCACTTGTTGAGTTCTGTTAAAGTCTTCTCTGCCTCTCTCATGTCTTTATTTATTTGGTCCATGCCTTCTTCTATGCGGTTTAGTTGTTCTAAGAATAAGTTGGGGAAGTTATGTTTTGTATTATAGTCACAGTGCCAACCAGAAAACACTATTATTATGGAAGAGCAAACTTCAACTTTGAATCCACCAATAATCCACCATCCCAGTGACTCTATCGGTACCAGAAGGTACTACATACTGTCCAACAGAAAACAATCTTTCACAAACTGATCTTGAGGCACCTGGCCTCTTAGTGTGGGAAGATCTGTTCTAAAGACCTTTGTATATGAGGAGCATGTGAGGGTTTGTTTAGAGATCATCCCTGAAACTAATTAAGTGTACTTTGACCAGATCAGATCCCCAGTGTTTTTATCTCTGGGTAAGTTCAAAACTTGAAGACTATTATTAAATCTAATAAAAACTAGGCCAGATTGCTCAGTGGCAACATGAATCTAAACCTGTTTAAGGACTTAACTTGATTTCTGAAAATGATGCAAGAATGGCATAGCATCTAATGTACATATGACAAATGCACACAATAAGTCCTACTACCTGACAAGTACTTGGTATACAATTAATTGGGCATTTTTGTCCCCACCTCAAATAGGCAATGAACACGACATATTTCAAATCAGAAAAAAGTAAAGGTATCACTCTTATCTTACACAAAGAAGGCATGCCCCAAGGCTTAATTTTCGACATGGCTGATTTGAAAAGGCTTTCTGGCATCGTAAGTCAAATCAAGAGTTTCTGTCAATGACTGCAACTCACCCCCTTGTTCATCCAGCATAGTGATAGTCTTGATTCCTGCATCCTGAGACTAAAAGAAGGGAAAAAAGCTGATAGCACTACAAAACAAAAACAACAGAAACAAAGCCTACGAGGCCTAGTAGCAAGAGAGAATCATTTAGAAACCTAAGTTCTCAGAGGATTAGAACTACAGAGAAAACTAATATCCCAAACCAACATACTTTAACTAATAACCGCACCCCAATATAATTAAGTCACTAATTCATCGTGAATTGATCTTCCTCAACATTCTAATACTGTCAATGGGAAAAACAAAAAAGGTCCATTGGTTTGACAAATTCAGCAACTGCTGTTTCAAATAATAAAGCTTACTGATAGCATATCCTTCTGACTCTTAACACAAATCCCAGTTTATGCTATCAAGATCCCTCTTATACAATTTCTAAACTTAACTTTAATGATGAAAGTTTATTTCTTACCTCAATGACTAAACCCAGCATTCTCCTTGTACTTTCCAGAGACTAGGGAAAAATACAGGGTTTTAGTATTCTAAAATATGTAGCCCCCACCAAATTTGATCACATATTCATGATGCTACTCTACTTTTATATTATCCCTCCTTTTGAAACAAAACCAAACAAACAAAACAAAAAAAGAAAGCTGAGTACTATAATTTTAGTTATTTTCTTCCTACCAGGTGCTCCGTTAAGAGAAAATGTGGAGGGTAAAGTTAATGGCATTTATAAAAGTCTAATGTAGGCAGAAAACAAGGTATATTACACAGATATCAAAAAATTCTGTTAAATGTTTTCAGTTCCTCAAATCTAGAGTAGATTCTCTGTTGTAATTGTTAAAAAATGACTATTTAATGCCTCCTTGGACATAAAGTGACTGGAAGGAGGTCAAAATGAACTTCTAAGAAGGTCCTCTCACCCCTCAACTGAAAGAGGATTACTTATTCCAAGTAAAATGTTTACCTCATCAGTAACCTGGTGGGCTCGCAGCTGAATTTCTTCTGATGACAGATTATCCATGATGAATTAAAACTTTCGATAACCACAGAAACTGAAACGTGAATATTCTGTAAGAATAAGGATACAAAAAAGTTTGTTTGAGCAAAGAGTATGGATTTATGGAATTCAGGATACTTAACTGGAAAACAGGGTAAAATAACCTATCTGTATCTTTAGCTAGCTAGCTAGCTATCACAGGTGAAGAAATTATGGCTGAGAAAGGATAAACAGACGGCTAAATGCTAATTAGTTCCAGAGGTGAACCTGAAACTCAGGTTTCAGGACTTCAGTGAAGTACTGTTTCAAAGAGGAAAGTGGACTCTCTACTTTGAGAGCACATACTAGAAGACAAGCTTTACAAGATTATTAAAATTCTTGGTTGTACAATGTTCTTCATACATTATTTGAATATGGAAAAACAATAAGGTGAAAAAGCCTAAGTTAGGTAATATTCCATTAATAAAATAACAAAATTCAAAGTTATGTGCTTGAAGAACACAGGAAACAGTCCAGACCTGTGCCAGGTGTCCAGGCTACTTATTAGAGAAAAACAAATATTTTCATTCTTAACAAAAAAAAAAAGGTAATGTTGACATAGAACTCAGAATAGATTTTTCATAGTGCATTCTCCCTTTCCAAATATTATATTGTATTGTTTGTTGTTTTAGTGAAGTCCCTAAGAAACACAAGAATTATTTCTCCTATACATAGTAACTTAGTAACTCAAAACTTTGAGAAGATTCATAGACATTCATATTAAACACAAAACATTTACTGGGTGTTATTCAGTACTACTGTTGTGCATCCCTCTTTGAAAAGTCATATGGAGTAATAAGTACTGTGTGACACCTCTATGTTGCTTTTTTTCCATTACATTTGTTAGCTTTGTGTTTTTTCCTTTTATTATACTTTTGAAAAAAACTATACCAAAGCTCTATGTCAATGACACAGATAAAGTTCTGAATTTACCCTCAGGGAACGAGGGTAATGATTGTCATGGCCTGAGGGGGATGGGTAGTGTTACTGGCATCTAGCAGGTAGAGGCCAGGGATGCTGCTAAATATCCCATAATGCTCCTAGGGACAGCCCTTCACAACAAATGATTATCTGGCCCCAAATGTCAAAGTGCTGAAGTTGAGGGACGCTGCCATGGAGTATACTCACTGACCAGTAGGGAACCTAGTAAACCAGGAAAATACTAGACTAAATCCTTGGAAGGCAGAGATTTTGTTATATATATTTTATCTCTAACACCTAATATATTGGATCTGACAGCTGGTACTCCAGCGAATGTGTACAGAATGAACACATAAGCAGAAAAACAAGGTGTATTCGCAAAATATTAAAGTGGATTTTAGAAACAAAGCTATATGTACCAGTAGCATTAAGCCTGCAATTATCCATTTGAAACATAAAGCAAAAATTGCCATTACAAGTATATGATCTGGAATGGCTTGCTAGTCACACACAAATTTTTTGTCACATCCATAGCTAACCATCATTCTTAGTAGAAGCAGCATTCATAAAACAAAAAGTAACATTATATTCTCAGTACAGAAAGGCACTGTATTTCTAATCCTGTTTATTTATTAACTACATCATGGCTGTTTTACGTTTAAGATTTTGAACCTTGGTTAAAGCCATTAATGCTCATGAAAAGATAATTACTATTATTAGTAATAAAAAGCATTACTGAAAAAGTTACAGATTTAATTTCATATCTTGCTTGCCACTGAAGAACTCTGGCTCTGGCAACAGGTTCATATACTAAGATATACAATCAAGGTCAAGGTCCTTCTTGAATTAAGAACTGATCATTCATAGGTAGAAGCATAAATAGGACCACATACTTTATTACTTTAATTGTTTGAGCCTTTAACTTTATCATAGATATGTTCATGCTACAGTTTCTCTTCTGTCAATCTTTCATGGTTACAATTATGAAAAGAAAAGTTGTTTTTGTAATCTCTCACCTTCAGATTTTTGTACACTTTTCATTTCTACAATACCCCACCTGCCTGCCCAGGTAACTTGATGCTGCTTCTCCATTACTTTCAGAGCCCCAACAAGATACCTTTCAAAGCCTGGTCTTCCCAGGCAGAACGCTCCAAAGTTGTCTATACCTCCTCAATGCCTAATAGAGCAAAAAGTGATAAGAAAAGTAATACGTGCTAATCAAGCAGTGCCTGGAAGTGACATCCTTAGTCAGGTTTCCCAATACAATGTCCCATGGGTAGGAAGTTATTTTGGGCACATGATGCTCCGATCTCTCAAACTGTATAATTTCATAATTCTACTACTGGACCTGATTCCTGCCAAGTACAGTATTTGTTATCTTCCTATCCTAGTGAAAATAAGCAAAATTCCGTGTAGGTTCAAGGAGAGGCTTGAATGTAAAACTGACCTTTGTCAAACTAGAAGATTCCAAGAGTCCTGCCTTCTAATTATGTGTGTGTTAATATGTGTGCATGTGCATGCGCGCGTGCACACCCACCCACCTACCCACCCACAGGCAAATACAGCTGGGCGGGGAAAATGAACTCCAAGTGCTGCCTAGTACTTCTTTTTTCCCCTGAGCAGATGGCACACAAGACAAGAAACAAGACTTCTATAAAGTTCTCACATGTTTGACAAGCTGACATCATAACACAGCTGCCTAAGGCCTCTACTCTGGATTCTTGAGGGTGCTGAACACATGGTTACAGTAAAAGGGAGTAAGAGAGACAAAGCAGAATTGTAAGGGAAGAACAAAACAATGATACTTCCCAGGCTCTTCTTCTTAACTTTTACTAAGCTGCTCAGAAGTGTCAGGCAGGGTGCAACCCAGAATTAGCTATATAGCTTTACTCATATTTATTATTATCTCCAGAAGTTTTTCCTTATGGAGTCAGGAAAATACTACTCAGAATGTTGTAGTAAAGAGAATTAGAGGGGGTGCCTAGGTGGCTTAGTCAGTTAAGCCACCAACTCTTAATTTCAGCTCAAGTCATCTCACAGCTCATGAATTTGAGCCCCATGTTGGGCTCCATGCTGACAGTGCAAAGCCTGCTTAGGATTCTCTCTCCCTCTCTCTGCCCCTTCCCCTTGCTCTCTCTCTCAAAATAAATACATAAATTTAAAAAAAATAAAAAGAATTAGAGGGGTGCCTGGATGGCTCAGTCAGTTAAGTGTCCAACTTTGGTAATGATCTGTGGTTCGTGAGTTCGAGCCCCACAATAGGCTCTGTGCTGACAGCTCGGAGCCTGGAGCCTGCTTCAGATTCTGGGTCTTCCTCTCTTTCTGCCCCTCCCCTGCTTGTGCTATCTCTCTCTTCTCTCTCTCAAATATAAAATAAAACATAAAAAATTTTTTTTAATAAAAAATCCTTAGTCTTCTATATAACCTAACAAATTAAATGTGTCATTTTTTCAATGTTCCTAGAACTTAATATATACTATGCTAATTTTGAGTGTAGTATATGCCCCTTTGAAAGATAAATGCAAGAATTTCCCTAGTGCTTTTACACTGTATCTCCCTTGTCATGGTTAATTTGGGCTTACTAGAAGACTCCTAATTTACCTTAATTTCTTTTTATAAACTTTGGAGGGAGTAGGGAAGAAGAAATGTTCACTGAGTACCTTACTATGTGCCATATACCCTGCTAAGTACTTACATACATCATTATCTTTCTTACACCATTTTATAGATGGGCAATGTAAGGTTCCAGTAATTTGCCCAAGGTGACTGAGTCAGTAAAGAGCTGATTTATTATTTTTAAGAGAGAGAGAGTGCTTGCAAGACTGAGAGGGGGGTAGGAGGGAAAGGGGCAGAGGGAAAGAGAATCTCAAGTAGGCTCCACATTCAATGAGGAGTCCAATACAGGACTCAATCCCATGACCCTGGGATACATGACCTGGGCCAGAATCAAGAGTCGGATGCTCAATTGTCTGAGCTAACTGGGTGCCCCGTTTTGTTTTTTTCTTTTTGAGCAGACTTATTACTCAAGTCTGGATACTCTGAAATCAAAAACAGCTCATGGTCTGGTAACTAGTCTTACTGTTGGATGCATCTTCCCTTAACAAATATCAGATGATATGAGAACTGCTAAATATCAGAAAATAGACTAAATGCCCTACCTAATGGCTCATCTCAAAACTTAATATAAGTATATGATATACATTATAATATACATATAATAAAACCGTAAAAACTCAACAGACACAGAGACAGTTAAACTATAGGAAGAACTGGGGTGCCTGGCTGGCTCAGTCAATAAAGCATGTGAATCTTGACCCTGAGGTTGTAAATGTGAGTTCCACATTGTGTGTAGAGATTACTTAAAAATAAAATCTTAAAAAAATTAAAGAACTAGAAAGACAAGAGTTATCATGGTTTCAGCTGTTTTAAAATAATTAAGAATCTGAAATTACATTCATTTAGAAAATGAAAATACTATTGGGAATAAGGAACATAAAGAAAAAAGTCTTAAAACTGAATCAACAGGAGATCCATGTATTCACTGATAAAGAGAGAGATAATTAGGAAGTAATGGAAGTATAGCACTTTATTATTATTATTTTTTTAAGATTTTATTTTTGAGTAATCTCTGCACCCAACCTGGGGCTCAGACTCAACCCTGAGATCAAGAGTTGTAGGCTCTTCCAACTGAACCAGCCAGGTACCCACACACAACACTAAATCACCACCAATTTCAGTATCCTACTAAGACTAACATAGCAGTGATTTTATATAATAATTCATTTTATATTGGGAAGCAAAGATTTTGCATTAAAATAGTCTACCAAGTTAGCTTCATGACTTATTCCTTCTCTTAAAATTAATCACAATATAAGTTGCTCTACAAGTTATATCCATACAGGTTTATTATTGTATGATAAAATTTGTGGTTCTTTTTGGTATATTTTGACTTTCATGGTAACCAATGTATTTACATCAAGTGGAAATTTTTGTTTATAGCAGGCTAGCATAGGAACTCCAGCATTCAAACTCTGGCCCAAAAATGTCCTATTGTATAACCCTCCGGCAAGTTAGCTAAACCTACTAAGACACAGTTTCTGCATTTGTAAAA